TTTGGTTGGGGAGCAGAGTGAAGGATCAGGGATGGTCTCTCTAAGGAGAGAGGGTTGATAAAATCAATTGCCCTGCTGGTTCTCAGTGGACCCTATGAGAGTTCAGATTTTGTCTGAGCTCAGGTGCCTCGGTCCAGACCTCCCGCCAGGACAATAGGAGCTTGGCTTGGTCAAAGCCTCCTGCTGGACAACACCTGCTGGGACAAGTCAGACCCCTACCCCAGCCCCCACAACCACACCTGGACCCAGAAGAGTACCTTCCCAGAGGCTGAGGATTTGGGAGCATTGTTTGCAATGATGACCACTGTCCTTGTGTCTCTGGCTGGCACTCCCATGCCCTGCTGCTCTAGTGTCCCCTGCATGGACTTATCCCTCACCCCCCACCTTTCCCCTTTCGCGAACCCTTCATGACGTCTGAGTAGGGATGGCAGGTCCCCTTGCACTGTTGATCTCTTCTGAGAGTGTTCTGTACACCTTCTGCCTCAACAGGAGGGTGGCACCCCCTGAGGGACACACTTCCCTGTACTCTCTCCAGGAGACTATTTTCCTTCACACTCATGCTCGCCAGGGCCAGGACGGGTAGGTGGTATTCTTCTCCCTGTTCTTGCACCTGCACAGCTCCTCCCAGCTTTCCCTTGGGAGCTGCAAGCTATTAGACTTCTACCTTCCCACCCCCATCATCATTGTCGCCCCTGTTGCTGCATTCCCCTGATGTCCTCACAACTTCCCATCATGCAGATCTGGGCTCCCAGTTCACCTTCCTCCTCCCCAGTCATCATTCCTGCAGCCTGAACCACTGTGTGGAGAACCCAGCCCACACCACCCTCCTCTTTCAGCCCCTCGATCTCCCTCCCACCTTTGACAGTCTAACCTCAGCCTTCACTCCCACAGTCATCACTACCAGAACTCATCACTACCAGGAACTGACCCCCTTTGAAGTCTCAGATTCAAGCATCCCATACTCTGAGCTCACTCTTGACTTTCTGATTGACACAGTCTGTTATCCCTTCTCTGTGACACATCTCATCTCACGGACACCTCAAAACCATCAACCCCACTACCTATTTCTCCCATCCATCATCCACCTCTGTTCTTTACCTCCCTCCTGTCACGGGCTGAATTGTGTCCTCTCAAAGTCCCCAAGTTGAAGTCCTAACCCCCCAATACCTCAGAATAGGACTATACTTGGAGATGGGGTCTTTATTGAGGTAATTAAGGTAAAATGAGGTCCTAATCCAACATAACTGGTGTCCTTGTAAGAAGAGATTAGGACAATAACATGCACAGAGGGGAGACCATGGGAAGACACAGGGAGAAGACAGACATCTATAAGCCAGGAGGAGGAGCCTCAGAAGAAGCCAACCATGTCCACACCTTGATCTCAGACTTCTAGCCTTCAGAACTGTGAGAAAATAAATGTCTGCTGTTTAAGCCACTCAGTCTGTGGTACTTTGTTATGGTGGCCCAAGCAGACTACTACACCTCCTTACTCATTTCAGATTCCAACATTATAACCATTCCCTTGCCATACCTTCCCCGTGTCTCCCTCGATTTTATTCTCCAACCAAGGCTGAACCTGGTGACCCACCTTGAGGGTCACCGGAACCTGAGGCAAAAAATTGCAAAACAATGCTAATTAATATCTCCTAAAATGTATGACCCCCAAGCCCTTAAATATGAGCTCAAGAGAGTCCATAAATCTCATCAAGTTTTCCAAGAGGCTATTTCATGTGTTCTCTTTTGTCTTCAGAATCCCACTGCCACCTCTCTCAGCTCATGGCCATGGCTCTCCTGATCTGAAACCAGAAGCCACCAGTCAGGAGCCTCCTCACGTTCCCACTAGCACGGCCGCAGGCCCAGGTTTCAGTTTTCCCTGTACCAACCAAAAGTCTCTTATTCTCTGCGTTCCATTTCCATTTCCTTTGCCTTTGCAAGAATCCCATGCCTCTAATGTCCTCACTAATAATTTCTCTTACTGGAGTACTTCCATATACTTGTCTACATACAACCCCACACTTGCCTCTCCTACTAAAGACACTTCCCTTGACTCCCATCCTCTCCCAGCGACTGCCCCATTTTTCTGCTCTTTTAATACCAAAATACCTGAAAAGAGTCATCTACGCTTAACTGATTCTACTCATTGACTGTGTCATCAACAATTTCTTCCTGCTGTTGGATCACACTCATTAGCATACAATCATTCATTCTTCCTACTCCCCAGTCTGATCTTGGTGAAGGTCACTGATGACTTAGGGTTGCCAAGCTCTGAGTCTCCTCTCAGTCCAGCTCTTCTTTGAGCTCTCAGCAGCATTCCAAGTGGTTGGCCGCTTCCTCTTTCCCTTTGGCTCTTCATGACTCATCTCCTGTTTTGCTTTTGACTTCACAGGCTGCTCTTTCTCAATCCTCTTTGCATCTTTCTCTACCTGACCTCCGAGGACCCATTCTGCTGTTTCTAGATGATCTCACCCAGGTCCATGACTTTAAATATCACTTATGTGCTGATGCTCTCAAATTTATGTCTCCGTACTGACCTCTCTCTTGAGCTCCAGACGCATAGATCTAATTTGATATCTCCACTTAGATGACTCAAGGCATCTCAAACCTGACATACTTAGAAAGGACTTCATTCTGCAGCCACTTCACCAACCTGGTTCCTATCACAGTGAATGCTACCACCATCTAGGTTGCTCGAATCAAAAATCTAGGAATCTTTCTCACTTTTCTTTTCCTCCTTGTCACTTCTCCTTTGCAATATATCTGGACCCCACACATGTCTTTCATCTTTACTCTCCACCCTAGTCCAAGTTGCCATTAACTTTCACATCTATACTGAAATCTTTTCCTAAATGGTTTCCCTTCTGTGGGCAGGGGCTGCTCCAGGGAGGAGGGCTCTGTGAAGGACTGGTTACCTGCTGTGCAGATGGCACAGTCAGTGCCAACCAGAATAATCAGATCTCTGAAGGGAAGGCGCGTGGGCCCCTCCTCTCTGTCACACTTCCCTCTGAAACAGCACTCCCATTCAGAAAGCCAGATCAAGTGCCATTAACAAATTAATTCCGATTAGCACAGCCCAAGCACTTAAACCTCAAGGCAATCCCGTCCAGTCCTGCAGGGAGATAGCTTGGCCTGCTAATAAAGTGGAAACTGTATTGGAAGCAGAGGCGACTGTGTGATGCCTTGTCTCTGTCCCTGGAGGGGAGAGGAGTGGGATTTGATTACACCATGGTCTCCTGAGGGAATTAACTCACTTTCCAATGATAGGTTATTAATTCCCCAACTTGGTGGTTAGGTCTAAGAGCACAGGATCAGCTCTCACACCCGCCTGTGGCCCGGGCAACCCCTGATTTAGGACTGGGCATTCTGCAGGTGCCCCATGATCGAATGAAAAATAATTAACTGGTAGGCAGGCACTAAGTCTGGGGCCTACTATCATTAGCAACCCTCCATTCTTTTATTTAACAAATATAACTGGGGCCCCACTGTGTTTGGCAGAGCAGATTAAAAAGTTAGTCCAAGCAGATAAGGCCCCTGTTCTCCTAGAACTTAAGATACTAGGGAAGGGAGGCAGATAATCAGCATGCATAAACAAATGAGAGGCTGACTTCAGAGAGTGACAAATGCAATTAGTATAAGACAACAGGACAAGGTGACAGAGTGTGTTGAGTGGGGGAGGCCCTAGGGGGCCTGAGGCAGTGACACCTAAGCTGAGCTCTGGATAGTGCAAGGAGCTAGTTAACCCTGGCCAAATAACTTTCTAGGGAGAGGGATCAGAAAATGCAAGTGCCTGTTGCCAGAGAACCGGGCTCCACCACATTTTCATTCTCTCAATACCTCCAGCATGGCCATTTTCGCCTGTTGGTTGCTCTCCTTGTGGAACCAGGCCAGGCAGTTGTGTTCCTGCTGCCCAGCTCTCTGCCCACAGACTGCCTGCCTGCCTTGATCCTATCCCTCCCTCCTGCCCCTCTCACTCATGTCCCAGAGCTTTGCTCAATTCCCACCTCTTCCAATGAAGCCTCTCAAAAGCCTCCCAAGGGGAAGGGCTCCCTCCTCTTGCTGAAGTCCTGGAGCACGTATTTGGTACCTGCCATCTCTACTGCTTTACATGGGTGGATGCTGCATTACTGTGTACTTGAATCTGCCCCCACCCCATGCCTTCCCTTCCCCTGTCCAGTGGGCCGCTCAGGGGCAGTAGCTTTATCCTCTCTTCCTCTGCCTCCTACACTTTCCAGGCCTCGCCCAGGTCCTCAGCTGACAGACACTCAGGGGAAGCTGGATGGACACCTGGCCGAATGAGAGCCTGAGACGCAGATGGAGGTGCATGGAAGCCTCGCCTCTTCTCCTCAAATCTCTAATGTGTGCAAGAAAGGAAAGCACTCCATCCAATTCCTGGGACCAGGACTGGCTTCGGATTTGAAAATGAGTTTCCAGAAGGATGATTTAAACATGTTAAGACTATCACCAGCTTTCTTATGGGAATGCTTAGAAACTTTCATAAGGGCAGTAGCCAGCCAGAAGGATAGGTCAACCTGAAGACGAAAAGTGCCGGGACCGAGAAATCACGTGAAGGAGGCAGGGAACCACCCTCCCAGAGCTGGGCTCTATCCTGTATCTCCATGTGACAGCCCTCCCAATGACTCAAACCCTTCAAATCGGTACCGCCCTTGCCCACCAGTAAAGCACAACTGCTTAATTGCAGCCAGCCTTTCTCCAGCTCAAAACCTTCCCTCCAGCAATATTCCCAGACATCCCAGGATTCCAGAGCTAGTCAGCCTCATCCAGGAAGCTAGAATATTGCCGGATGAAATATGAGGGTGCAAAAGGTGCCGTCAGTTTCCAGGTGCCTCAGCCGACTTGCTGTCGGGTCCTGAGTTGGAGGGAGGCCTGAGCTCCCCATGCTATGGCAAATGGGGATGAGGCATGGCGCCCAACCCTGGAGGAAGGAAAGCCAATGGGCATGAGGATGAGATGAGCGTGGAGACGTGCTGGGCACTGCTGCTAACCTTTCACGAGGACCGTCCTGGCCTCAGCCCACTCGCTCCTCCCTTCTGACGTCAGCAGGCCGATTGGAGGCAAGCGTTCATCCTCGTTGGAAGCCATTTTGACTATCTTTCTCAACTGAGTGAACAGATCCCCCTCACTGAGACGGCGGAAATTAATGACAACATCCAAGACAAAGAACTGTGGGGGAAACAGGTCAAACACGTCACTCATGGCAGCCAGCCCAAGGCGAAGGGCCTTCACTGAACCTTCACATGCAAGCGCAGATGGGGGATACTCAGGCCCAGGGATCTCAAGGTACGAGATGGCTCTGAACAGTCACAAGTTGGGGACCTACCCGATGCTGTCAACTGTGCTGAACTTCAAGCTTCCACAAATCAAAGAAGGCCAGATTAAACTTAGCTAAAATAAAACTAGCTTCTGTGGTTCTTAGTTCATGTGGAGAATTAAGTATAAATTGGTACAACTGCTGTTAGAAGGCAGTGTCTATCCAAACTAAAAATGTGCGTACCTTACGATTCAGCAATTACTCTTCTAAATGCATACTGTAGCCTAAGGCTTGGAGAAACATATACTCTTGTGCCCAGAAGATACGTGAAGGAGTGTGCAGATAAGCCGTGTTTGCAATAGCAATGTGGTAGAGAGAGCCTAAGTGTTTTTCGGTAGGGGAACAGCTAAGTTAAACGTAGTGTATTCATCTAGTGCACGTCCACTCAGCAGTTAATAGGAATGAACTCGCTCTAGATATGATACAGGGATAAATCTCAAACGCAATAGTGAGTGGAGAAAATAAAACAAGTCAGCAAATAATATGCAGAGGAAGATTAAAATGGAAAACAACATGCAAAATGTTCTATCCCTATGTGTGCACATATACATGTGTACATGTGTGTGTTCAAAGTGAGGTCTGTGTGCGCCTGGGTGGCTCAGTTGGTTGGGCGACTGCCTTCGGCTCAGGTCACGATCCTGGAGTCCCGGGATCGAGTCCCGCGTCAGGCTCCCTGCTCGGCGGGGAGTCTGCTTCTCCCTCGGACCCTCTTCCCTCTCGTGCTCTCTCTCTCTCTCATTCTCTTCTCTCTCTCAAATAAACAAATAAAATCTTTAAAAAAAGACAAAGTGAGGTCTGTGAGCTATCGGTCAGTAGCTTTGAAGCCAAAGTCATGGGCTTCGTGAAAGGTCTTATTCCTAGCCCCAAGTTAAGCTCCCTTTTCTGCCGGTTGATATGAGTACCTGGTCTCATGTCCTGAGCAGCATACGCGTGGCCTGGTCCAGAGCCGGAGCCCTGAGAGCGTTTCTGGAAGGGATGAATACTGCAGCATGTGGAGGCTGGGAAATGCTGAGTTTGACTTTTTAATGAAGATAGAGAAAAGTTCTTGTTTGTGGCCAAACTGTCAGATGGGCTCCTGGTGGGAAATGCCAACCTAGGATGGCAGACTTCCACTGAGCTCCTGTCTTAGACTGCAAATGTCAGGTGAACTCAAGAAGAAAACGCTGTAGCACAAATAGCAGGCGCGTCTCTGGGGTAGGTGTCAAACTTGGGTTTTAGCAAACAAAAACAAACAAACAAGCAAAACCCAAAACCCCAATAACACCAAACAAAAAACCCACCAAAACCCAAAAAGCTAACCGAACCAAACCAACAAACAAAAAACAAACAAACAAAAAGCCCTAAAACAGCTTTTTGTCAGATGAAATAATTAGGTGGAGGCTCAATATAGAGTCTGTAGCCTGGTGGGCACTGGTAAGCGGTCAGGAGGCCTTATGCTCAACCCGTGCCCTTGGTCCGCATGGGCCCTCGTGGGCTCCTGGAAGCCAGTGTGAAGTCCTGAGCTGCAGGGGGGTGGGGTGTGAGCAGGGGGCACTGACCAGGTCTGCTAGGCCTCCTCAGCCTTGGACAGGCCGCTCAACTTCCTCGTTTCCTCTTCTGTCAGATGGGATTCCAAGCTCCTCTGCAAGTCACGGTAGAATCAGGTGGGATGAAACACATGGAAGTGCCGAGGCTACAGCCTGGACATGGAGGTCCGGACAGTCAGTCCGTAAAGCTGTCCAACTGTCTGTGTGTGGTCTCCAGGAAGACCACTGTCTGGGTGATTCATGAGGAGTCGCTGAGGCCACGCTGGCTCTCATGAACGGCCCACCGTCCATCCAGACCAGCTGACCTGGCTGGTCAGGGCCAAAATGGGAGTCCATGGAAGTCATTCTCAATTGATGGCTCTCCTCGTTCTCAAAGTCCAACTCATGGGAGAGAAATGGGACTGACTAGGAGTCGAGAGACCCCACTCTGTCCTAGCTCACTGTGTACCTCCAAGAGGAGACTGAGCATCTTTGGTGAAATCAGGGCGGATACGTACTCACGCGCCCTCCCCAAGCCACAGAGGCTGCGACAGAGAGGGGCCACTTACCTGGTTGCAGCAGGCCACGATCACGTGCTCTGGCTCTGGCATGACACTGCTTTTCTGGGCCACCAGTGTGTCCTGGGTGTGGCCGGGGAGCCGGTAGGAGGAGAAGAGCCCATAGTACTGCTTCATACAGAGCGGCTGCCCGGACAACTGGCCCTTGGCCCAGTCAGTAGGGATGGAGTGGCTGGAGAGCGGAGAGGGAGGCAGGGATGGGAATTGGTTCTACTTGACTTGATTCGACAAAGCGGGGCGCAAAACCCAGAACCGCTTTAGGATGGCCGTCAAAGAGCTGGATTCCCCTCTTTGAAGTAGTGGAGTGCCCTATTTCCGTGGCCCACGGAGAGACCCTCGGGGTTTTCTCAGGCCTCTGACGGTCTCTCTCGCCCCTGCCTCGGGCACTACACATACAGAACTTGCCTTTCAACCCTCGTGCACTCGCCCGTGCTCATCTTCGCGTGGCATGCCTTGACCCCACCCCTGTGCTCCACGAACTTGTTCAGAAACCTCCTTCCACCCCTTCAAGAGCCTGCCCTTCCATCACGTCTTCCAGAAGCCCTCTCTGAGCTCAAGGTAGAACGTTCTCTTTCTCCTGTGGTCTAGCACATTTTGTCCTTCTTGACTTCCGCCCTCCCCACACTTCTCCTCTGCCACTTCCTCCCCCATCACTCTCCTTCTTTCCTCCATTCTTCTCTCCCCTCTCCCCCTTCTTTCTCTGTCTTTCCTTCCTTCTCTTCTTTCTCTCTCCCTCCATCTTTTTCCTTTGTCCTTTGTCCATCCCTCTCTCCCTCTCCTTCCCTCCTCCCTTCCAGGCAACAAATGTTATGGAGCACTCCTCCGTGCCAGGCACCTTTCTGGGATATGGGGTGATAGTGGCAAACACAACATGAGTCTCCTGTTCTAATGGGGCACAGGTCCTGGGATGTGTAGGTGGAGCAGAGACAACAAGCAGCAAGTGGATAAATGGGAGGGTTTCGGGTAATGAGACAGGGCGACAAGGCCAGGCCCTGTGAGCTGAGCCCAGAGGGTAAGAGGCAGCCCTGAGATTTAACGGGGACAGAGGGAGGGTAGCGTGTCCCATGGCTCTGCTGCTCAAAGAGCGGGTGCCGCACTGACCTGTGGGAATCAGAGAGAGCTCTCAGAAAATTGTATAGCAATTTGACAGCGGAATTTTATGTATGTTGAGTCTAAAATAAAAATAAAATATGTGGCTGTGTATTTTGTACCTTTGTACTATTTTTCTGCAAATTCATTTTTGTAGTGTTTTACATTTTACGAAATTAAAAAATACATTGGTCCTTCAGCACAGATCATTTGAGGAGCGCCTGTCCAAGCTGGAGAGGGAACCAGTGAGGTTGAAGCCAGGTACGCAGACTCAGCGTGGGGAGACCACTCCCCTCGGTTGGCAACTAGCAAGGCGTTCCCCACCATCACCTCACTCCCATGACTCCTCCTCTGCCTTCTTGGGCATTCCCTAAATTCCGGACCCCCGTAACAGTATGTATATGTGTGTGCGTGGGGGGGGTGCATTTTAAAGAGATCATGGAAGGTCAGTGCTTACCCTAGGCAAAGGACCCGTTAATGGTCAGGTCAGCTGGGGTAAAAGTCATCCTGATGCTGGAGGATGGGGGGCAGGATGGGGGGGCGGCGGGGGCGGTAGTCCACCTTCTCTATGACAGAAGCCGGGAGCACAGAGCTGGAAAAAGACCAGGTCTCTGCCCTCTGAAGTTCCTTGGCTAGTGTGGCAGGGAGACAGATGAGTCCACAGGCTGTGCCAAATCAGGGCACTACCCTCCCCAGGCCGGCCCCATCCTACCTGTCCAGCAGGGTCTTGTAATGGAGCACACCAGAGATAAGGTTGGCTGCAAACCTGCAGAGAGAGATCAGGCCTGAGGTTCTCCTCTTAGGGGCCCAGGCTCCTTCCCTCTCTCAACCTTCCTCTCGCTCCGCTCCATACCACCCCTCCCAAGCCCAACAACCACCCCTCCCCCCACCGCTGCTGCCGCGCTACTGGGACTTCCCAAGCCTCGGATTAAAATGGTCTTGTGGGGTACCTGGGAGGAGAGGGCAACAGGAAGGTGAATGAGGAGGAGGAGGAGAGAGAGGAAGTCGGGAGAGGCCGAAGAGCAGGCAGGAGAAGGCTGGACGTCAGGGGTGGGGTTCTCCCTAGGGAAGAACTGTGCTGGGGTTGGACTGGGCCAGGAACTCAGGTTTGGGGAAATCTGGTCTCCTGGGAAAAGTCAATAATTTGGTCCCCTTAGTGCTAATGAAAATGGAAGTGGGTGCTGGGCGGGGGGGGACAAAGTTACCAGAGAACCACACCACAGGACTGTGTCATGTTAACTGTCCACGGATGATGACCCTGGCTTAATTGCATCAGAAGGAAAATGCCCCCTTGGATGCAGTTTGAGAACTGTTTTCAGAAGCTGTTCATCCGTCTATCTGCACACTTTCTTCTGCCCACGGGAGGTCGAGACTGCAGGCTACCCAGCAGCTCCACTGGGCTAGTCCCGGTGAGGAAGGAGGGGATGGGGGTCTTCCCAGCAGCGCTGAGCCCTGCCCATAGGCCCAGGTAGGCCCTGCCTCTTTTGTTTGTTTTTGTTTTTCCTCTCTGAACTGTCCCCATGCTGTGCCACATTGGGTGTAGGTCTAAGAGACTCCTGTAGGGAGACCCTTCTTCCCTGCCACATCCCTGCATAAATGCTCACCCACTGCACGCCCCCCCCCATCAACATCAGTGGGCCCAGAGGCCATTCCAGTGGCTCAGTGAGCCCTGAAATTACAGCAGATGGCAGAGGCTCTGGCGGCGGCAGCTGCAGGAAGGAACCGTTTCCACCCCCTTGGAGCCTCTGTTTAGAGCCAGGGGCTGGTGGGGGCTCAGAGGAGGTCCTCTCAGACAACCTGGGGCAGTGTGTCCCAGTGACAAGTGCAAGCCTCAGGTCCTGTGGGGTCAGAGGGTACACACCTCCTTCCAGGGCCTCAGCCAGGTCAAGAATGCCATGGGAACAGCCGGGGGCCCGTGGCCTCCACTACTTCCCACCCCACCCCGAGTAAATATGTTCGAGGAGGACCTTGTGTTTGTCACTCACATAGCAACCTCATCTAACCTACTTCCCGGACCCATGGCCTGGACGGCCTCTGTCTCGGGGACGTTTGTCCTCAGAAAGCTCAGCCAAGGCACAAGCCTTGACCTTTCCTTCCTGGTCCTGGGGCCAGGCTCCAGGCACTCTCAAGCTGTGAACCCAGGAGCATAGTGGCCTCACCTCAGCTGGTCGTTTGTATCTTGGAAGTGCTGCCGGGCAAAGATCACAGCTGGGCTGGAGTTAACAGGCAGGGCCAGGCGGTTATTGAGATACATGTCATTCAGCCAGTACTCAGACACCTGTTGGGGAGCACGGGAGGGGTGTCATTACCCCCGGTGGCCATACACTCCCCTGTGGAGAGCACCAGTCCCATCCTGACAGCCCCAAGGGATGATTGGGACACTTTGTTGGATCATGCACTTCATTCATTCATTCCACAAATACACACTGAGCCCCGCTTATGTGCTAGGACCTGTGGGCTCTCCAGTTCACCGTGACTGACCTTCATCTTTGCCCCGTGCCATCCCTCCCTTCCATCCCGGTTCCTATTCCAGGTGTTTGGTACTTCATCCCTGTCCCTGCGCATCCTTATGTGTGTCCGGTTCCAGCTTCCCCCCTTTCTTTGCTTCCCTGAGCTTCTCTCCCCCTTCTGCTGCCCCACCCCTGTCTGCCCTCCCTGTCCCCCATCTGTCTCCATCTCTGTACCCTGTCTTCCCCTATTGCCCGGCTTCCATCTCCTGTGCCCCCCATCTGCCCCCCATCCTTGTCCCTGTCTGTCCCCCTTCCCTGACGGACACTGTTTCCCATCTCTAGGCCCTGTCTCTCCCCATCACCTCATCTCCATTCCCGTCTGTCCCCTCTTGGTCCCCATCTCTGCCCCCATCCCACATCCTGTCCAGCCCACACTCTTGCCCCTCCAGATCCCCTTGTTTCTCCTCTCTTCCCTATCCTCCCATCTGTCCCGGCCTTGTTACCTACCTGCCCCTCGTCCAAATCCCTGTCTCCATGTCTGCTCCCTGCCCCCCCCCCGTGGGTCCCTTGCCTGCACTGCCCCCTCTTGGCGGTCTGCCCCCCTCTCAACAACTCTTACCCAATTGGCTGTTTTCTCCTGTCGTTCCAGGAGCTTCTGCTGCAGGGTCTCACCAAGGCCACCAGGGGCCCCAAACCGCTGCACAATGGCCTGGCTCCGCCTGAACTGTTCCTCGGGTACTAGGTGCTGCATGCATCGCAGGTAAGTGGCCAGGGTCTGCTGCAGAGGGGGCACTGGAAGTTTGGGCAACTCCTAGAAGAAAGAGTTCACAGGCACTTGCTATGGTCTAGGGTCTAGGCTAGGGTCCGTAAGACTATGCCTGTCCCCCAGCTGGTCTCCAGAGTATGTCTCCGTTTGTCCCAATCCTTGTTCCCTGTCTTGGGTCTTGCCTAATTCCAGGACTTGGCTCAGCAGAATTATGACCTGAGGAAGCTTCTGTTTGTTTTTTTTTCCTAATGCCCCAGGCCTGCCCCCAGGAGGAGATAAAGTGTAGAGGAAAAGACCTTGATGTTGGCACCAGACAGACCTGGGTTCATGCACTGACCATGATGCTGACAAGCCACGTGATCTTAAGCAAACCACCTCACCTCTGTACCTCAGTGCCCTCCCCTGTAAAATGGGGGTAATAGCCTCTACCTCTCATAGGATCCAACAGATCCTTTTAAACCACAAAGAATGGGTCTAAGGTGAAAGAGATCTGTTATTGATATTGGCAGCTGGTCACTCTTAATTTAGGAGTTGTTCCCAGCTGGGGGGGCTTCAGAAGCTAGTTTATCTCTGGACCCAAAGGGTATAACACTGATGGAGAGATTGGCTCCTTCTTCCATCCCCTCCTTTTCCTTCTTCCTCACCGAGCTAGTCACAGTCAGAAACCACAACTTTTCCTAGTACTGATTCAAGTTTACAAAGTTGGTGGTAGGGGGCCACCTCCTTTCAGGGTTTTATTCCCTTTGGGGTGGCGCGGGTAGGCTGTGGAGTAAAGGGACCCATTCAAAGCTTGCCTCTGCTCTGTTCCTCCTGCTGCATGGACTGGAGCCCTCCCCACTGCCACCCTGGGCAGACAGGGACCAAGCTTGGGAGCCTGTGCTGATGAATGAATGGGAGTCCTTGCCTGCCTGATCCTGTCTTTAGAGCTCCCTGCCCTAGGGGGAGGGAAGAGGGGTCAGTGCTAACTATAGGCTGCTCATGCCCCAAGGAATGCTCAAGGACAAGGGTGGTCTGGGCAGCATTCTAGGTTGCTCAGCCCACTTCAAGGGAGCCAGGTCCAGGCCCCCCACCCAGCCGCTCTGGTTCCCTCTTCCTTCTCTTGTGGTCTGGGGGTCTGTGTGGAGAGCAAGTGGGCAGGTACCTGCAGAAAGCCCAGCCCAGCTGGTGGCTTTGCCAAGAGTGTCAGCAGGCCTGGCTGGAGCCCCTGCTAGAAACAGGCCACCCTTCCTCAGGGCTCTGATAGTGTGCTGGGACTCAGTCATGGGGCATCGGTGATGGGTAAAATGGAATGAGGCAGGAAATCTCGGCTTACATGTCTCAGCCCCCTGGGGCTCCTCCCCAGACTCTCATGGGCTGCTGGCCCATGCCTGGGGCTGGAGACAGGGACATGTACTAATGAGGGTCTTTGGACACTAAGGTCTCAGGTCAGTACACATTTCATGGGCAGTTCATGTGAGCCAGGCCCTGGACTGGACTCAGGGACAATGGAGAAAGAAGGCCTGCTCTCAAGGAAGCCCCAGTCCAATGGGAGGGACATGCCATAGACCACACTCAACAACAGAAATGTCTGTCAACTGTAACAGTCAGGACAATGTGGTGAGCAATTTCATGGGGAGAAGCCCAAAAGTTCTGATTAGGATTTCAAATGAAGCCCTGGGTACAGGTGGCAAGAAGACAAACGTAGCAGAGGGCCAACACTTCAACAACCTGGAGATCAGATGTGCTGCTCCATCACTTAGGAAGATGGGGAGGGAGGACGCCTGCCTAAGGAGGGGTGGCATTGTCTTAAGCCAGTGGGGAAGATGGTGCCTAAGGCCCCAGGACTGAACAAGGGACAGCAGCTGGAGCTGGGATATGACAAGGCTTAGAGAGTTCAGTCTTACCCTAAGGCAACTCCACTGGGCTCAAAGCCTTTGGAAGTGAAACTTGGGGAGACGGAAAAGCCTTGGGAGAAGAGTACCTGGCCCAGGTCAAGGGCTGTTCCTGGCCGTGGGAGTTAGGAAGCGTGGTAGTCAGCATTTCTTCAACATCCCCTGAAGTCACTCCCCGCCCCTCCAGGCTCTCCCAGGCTCCTCAGCGGGCTCAGGGCAGGACTACAGCCTGGACTTCATGCCCAGCCGAGGGCAGGGCTGGTGGCCAGGCAAGTGCTGGGGGCCAGTCCTATACAGGACTATTCTGGAAGCAAAGGTAGGTGAGTGGGGAGAGCAGGGATAGGAAACAGGACTCCAAAAGTCACTCACAGGCTCCTCCTCACTGCTGGGAGTTTTTGCGGCCATCTTTTGGGGAGCTTTTTCCAGGATGGGCATCTTGGTGACTCCTGGCTGGGGAAGCAGAGGTGCAGACCTGGGGACCGAGAAGCAGAGAGTCATCTATACAATAGCCACATAGAACTGCCACGGACCCTTCACCTCCCAGAGCCCGACACTCCACGCCTACCCTGTGAGGAAGCCAGAGCTGGATGTGGGCCCCAATTACACAGGACCTCATTTTAGACCTGCTCCCAATCTCCTAACCCCCAGACCAGCCCCCCTGACCACAGTGTCCTTTCTGAGTTCCCAAATAAGATAGAGTGGGGTCTGAAGCAAGCCTTTAGCCGACACCTGTTCCATAAGATTGTCACCCAGGCTCAGTCGACCACCCCAGGCCAGAGTGGGAAGGAGCAGAGTTGAGCTGGCTCACTCCAAATCATGAGGGGTCCTTGGCAGAGCACTTGCTTTGTTCCTGCCTGGGACCCAACAGACACATGTTTTGCTGATTAAAATCTCTCCTACTAGACTGTGAGCTTCTCCTGTTGTGCTCAGTGCTTCATCTCTGGGACCTAGCCGGGTGATGAGCATGGAGTAGGATCAGGGCTGGGTAGCTGAATAAAAGGAATGCACACATGCCTGAATGAATATAGGTCCTCTAAGGCTGTGGGCTCCAGGACACACTCTGGGCTGACCGGGAGCCTGGCCTGTGGCCAAGGCAGGGGTTGTGGTGGAGGACCCTGGGGCCTGCTGGATGGACTGTGACTTAGGCAATCTGGTTTGCAGGCTCCTAGTGTAGCATGGCAATGCTGAGGGACAGTACGGGGCAGCTGGGCAGTCTCGCCCCTGGGGGTCACCTGACTCAGCCTGGAGAGAAATCGATTAATTTTTTATTTGCAGTAGAAGTGACCCAGGACAAGAAGGGCAAAGGCCTATTTTTAAGGCTACCCTCTACCCTCAGCGAACCCCCTAAGCAGAGCCTAAGAGCCACACACCCGTGATTTCCACTCACCCATCCCCTATTCACCCACAAGAGCCTAAAGCTGACGTTTAGCCCATTTTATCCCCCACCCCCCACCCCAGGCAAGCACAGCCCAGGTGGGGGCTAGGCTCCAGGCACAGTTGACCCAAGGACAGAGCATCCAGGAAGATGGATGAAGCAGGCTCAGAAATGGAGGAGCCTGGGGCTGCTGGGCAGGACTAGGCAGAAAATACAGAACCCACACTAACTCTGTGCCAGGATGCTACTGACTAGGTGGTCCCCCAAGCTGCTGAACAGCATAGTAGCTGCCCTGACACCCTGCAAAATGGAAGCAGCGGCATCCAAGTTAGGGTCCCTCGCAGGGCTGCAGAACTCTGAAAGGTTGGTGAAGGCAAGGTCAAGTTGGTAAAGGCCCTAGTGCGGCTGGAGACCCCAATATCTTGGAGAGGTGTGAGATTGGAGCGGGGTAACACCCTGGGGACCAAATGGGAGGGCCTGGTCCCTGCCCGGCAGCCGCCTGCTTTTCCTCTTTGGCCCATGGGCTGGCAATTAGGAAGTGTATGTCTGTAGGTAAGTGTATCTTTCTGTCTGTCTCTGTTTGGTGCCCTCTGATCCATGCTGTCACCAGCCTGGCTTCCGAAGGCTGCCAGGAGGGGTCTCTGCTCTGCCCTGGAGGCCCAATCCCAGCTCCGCCCCCGCAACACAGGCAGTCCCTGCTCTCTAGGGACTCCCTGGGACCCAGGTCACACTTGCCACCTGAGGCTACTCCCCACCTCCAGCCCTCCGAAACAGTCGGGTAGGCAACCGCAATTCAAAGGGGTCCGGGTGAGACCTGCCAACGCCCTGACTGGGCACAGAAAGTGCAGACCTCGGCATTGAGCAGTTGGGGATCCAGGAGAATAGAGAAGTAAGGATACTCACGTGGAGTCGCGGAGCCTGATGGTCAAGCCTCTCCAAGCCCTTTACCCCTAACTTCTCACCGTCCTGCCCCCGGGCCCCCTGCCTCCACTCTCCGGGGGGAAGCGCCAGAGCCGCGGAATCCCACAGTCTCCCGGCGGTTCCCCGACGGCCGCCTCTGTTCAGGACTCGGAAAATCCCGCGGATCCTGGGGCCTGTGGATCCCCGCGCGTTCCCTAGACGGAGCCTTCCTCCACCGCCCTCGGCTTCCTGCGCTCTGCTCCCCGCGCCGCGCTCCTCCAGCCCAGCCCCTCTCACCTGCCCTCCGCTCTGCCGTGTCGGCCGCAGCTCCACCGCACCAAGCAAGACTGGGGGCGGGAGTGTGAGCCGGAAGGGATCCAGGGGCGCGTCAGCAGTACGGGGGTGGGGGCCTCTGTCCGCGGTAGCGGCTCCGACGTCGCCGGGTCCCCGCGGCCTCCCGACTGGCTGTCCGCGGACCGGCCGCGCCTGTGATCTCCTTCCTCCTGTTCCTCCTCCCTCCCCTCTCTCCTTTTCCCTCCCTCCCTCAGCCCCACCCCGTCTCTCTAGCTCTTAGTCCTCTCCCCCACCCCCGCCGCCGCCTGCAGCGATCCCACCTCCCGGCCCCCTGCCCCGGCTCGGACGGCTTTCCGGACGAGTTTGTGTAAGGGCATCGGAATCCAGGCCCGAGAAGAGGGTGCAGAACATTGCCCCCTGCCCAGCCTTCCCCAGTCCCGGCGCTCTCCCAACTCCATTATCCTAGCCCCGGCTGCGTCTGCACAACCCTGGGGAGGGTTGGGTCTGGGGAAATCTGTGCCTTCCCCGCCGTCTAGCCCAGGCTCAAATCATACAACTCCTTTCAAAATGATACTCATCATCACCATCATCCTGTTTGTTGATCACTGCAGGTTCTCCTTCCTTTTCTATTCCCACCCCATCCTTGCTGGCACTATGGGGTGGGGTGGGGGGGGGGCGGGAGTGGAGATACAGACCTGAGGATGCTTACAGAAACGCAGCCAGAGGCAGACACTCCTCCCAGACAAAGCACTCCTCCCCCCACCGCCACCCCAGATATAGATCCTTACATACCAACACACACAGACAGACCCACAAAGACAGACCCTGCCCAAACACACACAACAGCCCAACACGCAGACCGAGGACAGACGTGCACACACTAGCAGTGAAGACTCTTACAGGCATTGTTTAATACACAGGCGTACCCCAACTCTGCTGCCTCTCCATGCCAGAATTGGAGGGCTCTTCGGCCTTCATCAGGCCGCAGGCTCCAGGACTGGGAGTGGTCTGCAAACGGGGGCCTGCAGCTCCGGAGACCCGCACTCAAGGTGGGGAGACTTCTGACAGCCTTGGCCAGCTGCATCCACCAAGGCCGGGGTAAGGGTGGGGGTAAGAGGGTGGGGTTTGGCACCCTCTTCAGTCACGACTCAGACCCGCACAGCCAGGACACAGCAGGCACACCAACTGTTCCCCCACTCCTCGAAGGATAGAGCCTAGCTCTCCAACGAACACACAAGACTGAGGTCGGACCTCTGTCCGGAACAGCTCGGCCCCTACTCCTCACCGGAGCCTGGACAGGCTGGGATGCCGGGCTCGAAGGGAAGCCCACCCCTGGCCTTCAGAGCTCAGAGTCTGACACCGGGAGTGTCCTCAAGGGGCGGGGCCTAGCGCCAGCGGAGGGAGCGGGTCCTCAGGCTCCCCCGGGCGGCGCCCCAGGGCCCTGCGCTGGGGCTGGGAGGGAGGGGCTGTCGCAAGCAGAAGGAAGTCGTGTACTACAGGGTGTCCGAGGGTGGGAGCCTTTGCTGGGTTTGCTTTTTTTCGTATCTCCTCTATCAGGTAGCAAAAGAGCCACAGGCTTTCCGAGTGCTTGCCAGGCTCAGACCTGGATTAGGGCTAGGCACCGCTCACCCTCCCCTCTGCCCTGGCCCTGTGCCCGGCCGCCCACCCTCATCAGTAAAGAGACTCGGTCTCGAACAGATATAGTTTATTGATTCGGGCCAGAAGCACCGCGGTGGAGGGGGCCAACTTGGCACTGAGAGAAACGGAAGGAAAGACAGACAGACGCACGGTTCTACACAGGACAGCCCCGAGGTGGCGCCTCGCGCACCTCTTTATCTCTGCAGGACCGTATCGCATCGTGTGCCTCCGTGCTCTACGCCCCACAGGACGAGAGGGAGGGAGGCACAGAAAGGGTCACAGAGAGGGGATCCCGACAGGGAAGTCAAGACGGGCGAGGCTGTGGAATACTCGTTGGAAGGGGCGGGCCCAGAGCCGGAGATGGCCAGTGCTCTCACAAAGTAGCCATCTTGACCCAGGGGTGGGGAGTGGGTGGGTGGCCTGGAAGAGTAGCGGGGCTGCTAGCTGCGGGCGTAGTAATTGTTGTAGACGTCCTCGCACTCGTCAAAGGGGGCGGAAGGGCTCCGAGGCGCGCCGTCCGGGTCAGACACCCGGCGCTCACGCAGACGCACAGCATCATACAGACCCTGCGGTGGCTCATCCAAGAGCACATCGCGTTCCGAGCGGGAGCGCCGCAGGAGGCCCACGTTGCGCAGCAGCAGCAGGACCGGCGCGTAGAGCAGGTTGGCCAGGCCCATGCCAAGGCTAAGTTGCGCAAACCCGAGCGAGTGCACTATGTGGCCCGCCACTATGGGCCCGAGCGCATAGGCCACGGAATAGGAGATGTCGGCGATGGCATAGACGCTGCCGTAGACCGAGACGTGGCGTACGTCCACGAGAAAGGCGAGCGTAGGCAGCAGTGCCGTGTCAACCAGCGCAATGCCGAAGCAGAGGCCGCAGAGCGAGACCACCAGTGGTGCAAAGGAGCGGCAGGCAGGCACCACGCAGGAGCTGGCTCCGATCACTGCCAGCCCGAGGGCTCCGTACAGCCACTGCAGGTGTGGGTAGCGCGCCGCCAGGCGCACGGTGAGGTAGACGCCTAGCACATGCGGCACAAAGGCTGGCAGCCAGGCCATGCCCCTCTCCCATTCAGACGCTGCCATCGTGTGCTCCATCCACGTGGCGATGGTTGGCTCGAGGAAGGCAAGGGGGATGTTGCAGGTGGTGAGCGCCCCGGCCACCACGGCGATGTAAGGGTCCAGCATGAGGCGGTGGATGGGTGTGCCCACCGGCAGGTTGGCCCGCGCCCGCGTCACGG